ACCCCCCACCCCCCTCCCATCACAAGTTTGCCTCTGGCTCCTTTGATACCATATTCCTTACTTGCACGTAAAAAACAAATTATTAAACAGTGTTTACATCAGGTTTTACTTATTTGGGTATTGTAGCACAAATCACATTGGGGGAGGGGGGGGGGGCTTTAGTCTCATTTTTTTGAGTTCTTATCAATCCATGCGCAAACAACATAATCATAGTAAAACTTTATAAATCAAGAAACTTATACTCTGTTAAAGAACAGGTGAACACAATATACATGCTGAAATTTAGATCTTGTTTGTACCCAAAAACACAGATAGGCGCGTAGCCAGAATGGAAGTGAAATGTACGCAGAGAACGGCTGGGGTCCGCTTTGAGACCCCCAGTTGGTCCAGGGCGAAGCCCTGATGAGGACCCATGGGCGAAGTCCCTGGAAGCTCATGAGTTTTACCAAATATTTCATTCAAAATCATGCCATTTCGATTTTCTTTAGAAAATACAAGACATAGTACTTAATATTGCTTTTAACACAGTTAAATACTTCCATGCAAATTTATTGTACATGTAGAGGCTGAATATTTTTTAAAATGATATATTGGGATCATCTACTATTTTTTAACTTTCAGCAACAAATATAATTAATTTCAATTATTAACGAAATAATGTTATATTTCAAATCATATTCTAGTGGATCACAGCATTCAACGGTTGATATTTTCTCAAAGATCTTTACAAAAATTATCAATGTGTTGTAGAAGAATTACAAATTAATAAATGTTTTATTTGGTTGTGGCAATGATTTAATAAAACATTACAATTTTTTTTATAAAGACATGGTAATATAAAATTTGAATTTGAATCGAAACAGTATGAGATAAAATGATTTGAAACACAAATATTTGCTGGATGGTATTGATTTTTTTTCTCTTCTCACAAATCTCTCTCTCTCCCCCCCCCCCCCATTCCATTTTTTTAATTTGAAAACGATGTGTACACATCTGCGTATAGGCAGTTACGCGCCTGTCAGAATATATTTAAGTAAAGATATTCAAATCTTAACAGCCTTCAAACTTTCACACCATTGTACTGTTAAAAATTCAAAGTATTATTTATCTAGAAAATTTATTTAATTAAAAACAGCTTTTCAAATTCAAAGGCAGGCTGTGAAGGGATTTCTGAGCAGGTGCAAAAAATAGTCCACAGTTCAAACAGTTCTTCTGGATGAAATCAATTCTGAAAACAAAATGAAATACCATTATGGAAAGTTCATTGGTGTTGTAAAAAAGTGATACTCAAAACAATGCATTGAGTAACATGGAAAGCATATACATGACTCTACTGTTTTTATTATCAAAATATTTCAATAATCTTGTTAGGAATATGTATGGTTTATAGCTAATATGGAGCATACTTTTTTATTATATTGGTGCAAACACTTGCTGCCTGAATGAATTGTTCAAATTGTTTGGGAGTAGCTACAACACAATATATATGTAATGAGTGAATAACATAATGATTACTATTGTAGAATGAAATGACATTGCATTGTACAAAACAAACCATGCTATACTATATTTTCTGAAATTCATAAAATAAATCGAAATAAATTTTTGATACAAAACTTTTCTGGGAAATTGAAACCTATGACATTTGCAAAAGTAGAATTGGTAGCTATACTTAATTTAAGTAAAAAAAAAAATCAATATACTAGAGGTAACATTTAATTCTTTCACCTATACAAAATTAAAAAAAAAATATTTAACGCTGGCATACTATAAAATTAATGTTATATGCTTTAGTGTGATCATACCCAGTGGAGAAATTGATGCATCTATTTTGATAGTTCTAGCTGATGTACATGTAGTTTTAACCATTTCTGTGACAGCTACAATGACAAAAGAATTATACATATAAACAGTACATAAATACATATAAGATCGACTTAATGTACATGTAGTCAGACAAATGAAAATTCAAACATTTTATCTTCATTAATGTAGAAATTATACAAATTTACAGCCTAGTGATACAGATAGTAAAAGTTCTACGATGAATTTAAAATATGAAGCACTGGTAAAAACTGAAATCTTAAAATTCACATATTTTGATTGCCAGAGGTATAGGGTCTTATACTCTTGTATGTACAGTGCACATACATTGTGTACACTGTGCAGTTTGACTTCACAAATACATTGTAAGTGTGACTGCATCTAAATTATACTATTTGATATCATGACGTGCTGTGCTTATATTATGTTGCATGTTTGTACATGTATGCCAAAGGAAAACATTACATGTTTAAAAGTTTGCAACTTTCATAATGTGTGTGTTTTTGTGTATGTGTGTGTGTGGGGAGGGGGGGGGGGCATACACACAAGGCACTGCATTGCAGTTTGTGACGGACTGTAATAATACATCTTATTGTACATGTTCATGGTTATTTGACATCGATGTAAAGAACAGTATGTCTACATGTTAATACCTATGCACATACACACCTTAATGAACAGAAAGGGACCTAGGGAGGTAGTGCGGATCGTCTCAGTTTTCCATGATTTCCCGAAATAACGTCATCATCTTCTCATCAAAAAGATAAACAAGGCCCAGGTCTCTTATTTTATCCCTATTCTCTTTAAAGATTGCCTGATTGTTGCATTTATCCACCGCATATCTAAGCAGCTGTCGCCACGTTTTTAGATGTAAACAACATTCCGTGTCACCGAGTGCAAGCGCTTGGCTGAAGCCGAATGCAGCCAAACGACACAATAAAAAGAGAATTATTTCGACGACGTGTTGTTACTATAGAAGAGAAAACACTAATGTTTATTTATTTAAACCTGAAAATACAGACATTCATTACAGATTCTCGCAATCATCATTAAATAGCTTTTTTGAGCTCTATTTCCTTATATGGATCTATCAAGGCGGAGCAACTGTCATGACGTCAAACCTCATTATGACCTCATTACCATATTATCTTCATGTGTAGCCTTAACTGTACTGCGTAATTCGTAACCATTCGGGGCTAAGGTAAACACCTCAACAAGGGTCAATTTTTTTATGTGAATAAAGAATCGTTAAAATATCTTTCAAAATAGCGAGGCAAAAATGACTCACGGGAGTGCTTGTGACCTTGGGCCTCTTGGTTTGAAAACAATGACTGCAGTTGGTATTTAAATAATAGATTACCGTAAGCTATAGCACATCTTGGTAAAATTTAAATGATTTCCCACGGTTCTGGATTATATACAGTTTTAAAACTTCCTGCTGATATACCTGTATTTTTTCAGTCTGCAAGCAAATTCAGTGTAAGGCACGTTATTGCTGCACAGAGTCATTTGCCTATAAACAGATGTGAAATGGTACGTACAGAAAAGAAAATGTCATTTTGTATACATGCCACTCAGATTTTGTTACGCGAATTTAGACGAATTAAACAACAAAACAATTTGCTTTGAAATAATAGAATCTAAATATTGATACGATAAAACAGGTTTAAAGATAAAGATGTCTATATTATATGATATGATATTTGCTTTCTCCAGCGAGTGGAAATGGTGTATATTCGCGAGGCTTACCCATTTCAACGAGTTGGATAAAACAAATGTCAAATCACACAATTATAGATGTTCTCTTTATCTCATGATTTTCGTTTTTAACAAAACTTGCATATAAGGCCTGTTTTTTTTTTTTTTTTTTTTTTTTTTTTTTTTTTTTTCCAAAAAGGTGGCTCCCATCAGCCACGTACCTCCGATCACTTGACTCTACACTAATTTAGTGCTTCGGTGGTGTGAAACGAGGTATATTTATATAAATTAATTTTATAATAAAGAAATAATTTTCTTCCTACTGCTGCAAATCCGCCTCATCAGGAGTCTATTTGCATTATGCATTTATGCATCTACACATAAACAATAAGATTATTTAATTGTTGAGGAGGTGAGAATATCACCCAGGTTTTTATTGCGTTTGTAGGACACAATAGGTAATTCAGAGAAGACTTTTTGACAGTCTTCATCCTTTACAAGGATATGCCAATATTTTATTTTTAGAAATTATTTTCTATGCAGATGATTATAGTATATTGCTACATAAATAAGTAAAGTTGACTACTGAATTGAAAGCTATGAATCCTTATCTTTCTTCTTGATGATGGTATCATTGCAGCTAATGAACGTTAATTTCAAAGAATTTTTTGCGTTATCCAGCATATTACTGCCAAATAAAATCATGCTGCAAAGCTTGTTAAGACATATGGGGAAACAGGAAGTGCGTTCTGCAATACGCAGAAAGTTCTTGACTTTTAACGATTGACAGAGAATAACTCAACCGTGATTGTACTTACAACAGTTCTTGTTAATTCATATTCACATTATTAAAAACAGAGATAATAAAGACAGAACATTTAATTCTTTTTGAATGCTGACTGTCCATGGACTTCTAGTCATTTAATTAATTACTTATTATTTGTCTAATCCTTCATTCATTCAAAGACTTGAAAAGAGTTAAGCACATAAATGTAGGGTATATTTATGGCATGAATACTAGCTTCATTTAATATCATGAAATTAATCTCATGGAACAAAGTGCAGAGTGTGTACCGGCTACATATGCGTTGTATGCAACAAATTTTGATCATTGACACATGATCTCTGAGGCGCTACTCTATTTTAATTGTAGTTGTATGGAAGTCTTATCCTCAGTAACCATTCAGATTTTAGAAACAAAAGTCATATGTAAATTACGCAGGTTATTTCTACACTTGTGTTGTGACAAACTTAATCAATTTATGATTAGATTCTAAATTTTCTCAATTATTTTGGGGAAATACTTTTGAAGGGTGCAAAATAAAAGATATTGGTTGACAAAACCGGTTAAGCGTTTTTCCACGATTGGAAAGCCATCAATTAACAACATGAGGCAACCGGTTTTGGCAATTGCGTTATCCGTATTCAAATTAGCGTGTCAATGGCCCTGGAAATGGGTATTTCCCTTTGCATTTTGCGAAATTATGTTTTCAAACCCATAATAAAAAAGTTATCTGAGAAGGATCGGCTTAGTAAAACCATTATAAAAGATTGAAATTACGAGGAAAAAATAAAGGGACAACTTTATAAGAGAGAGTGCAGTAGACTACACAGACCTCTCTTGGTTAACCTCTTTGAGGTATGTTCTTAAATTCTTATGATCTAGATTAGTGAAGATTTAATTTAACTAAATGCTGTCGTGGAAAGCTTTATAAAATGACATATTTCTAGTATTGATGTGTAATTGTAAAGTGTGGCACAAAAAACTATAGCTTTTTGATGGATGTCAGTTGCATTTTGTATTTTTTTAGGTACATTTAACTAACAACTTTAGTAAGAAATATTCATTTTAGGCGCAGTTTCTTTTTTTTTTCTGTTTTCTTTTTTTTTCTTAAAATATATCATTTGTTTTATTTGTAAATGATGTTGTAGCAATACATTTTATGATTTAATGCACTCCAGAATAACATAAAAAGCTAAAATATATTATTATGCTAATTATCTTTTTATATTCCGTGCTACTACATAGTCATATCATATAATGCCATTTACAGAAGACACAGACAAGCACGTCACTGATTCTGTCGTTGCGTTTCCAATTGAACTGAACTCCCTGAAGCCAATAAAATATTTTCATGTGCATTTTTTATTCTGAAAGTTAAGGGAAAAAACCAACTATGTTTTAAGTGAAGAAAAATAACATTCATTTATCATTCTATACTAATGTATATAATAAATTACGCAACTAACATGGTAGAGAAATATGTCCGAAAAATTTATTCTCCGACATTCCAATGACCACACATGTTTGATACCGTTTCCATAAATAGTTGAAACTGGTAAATTCTTATGAAACCTGTTTACCTTTGTACCCCATCTAATTATGTAAATGGCTGGTTACTTCCTCTTGCGCTACTTTTAAAATTTAATAGATCGATATTTCGTTTGACGCAAATACGAGGAGATGCGCTTCAGAGAACTTTAAAAGATCTCGACAAGACCACGAAAAAATGAATTGCACTTGGAGATAGAAAACTCTCTCGATTTGTGATCAAGATATATGTAAGATTGATTTCAATGTGTTGATCATATGTCGAAATAAATTTGATCAATTCAAACATCTACTTTTTTCTTGAAATGGTGTTTGTATCTGTTTAAAAACTTCTTATTTGACTTCTTATATGCAGGATAGATATTTCAGGACTGCTTCATTTGGTGTGATATTTCTTTACATGTATTTCAACAAAAGATACGAAAATTAGGAGAATGTTAACTATGATTACAATAAATCATTATTTTAAAGTATTTTCTATGGTGACGTATGTCTGCCCTTTTTACGCAAGTTATTTTTCTATAGATTATTTTGACATGCAAAAAATCTTTGTCAACATGCAACAAAAACATGACAACATGCAATATAGCTTAGTTGACATGCATGAAAGTGTAATAATTAATTAAGAATTTCGAAATTTTCCAAAATTATTACATTTCGCCATCATATGACTTCCAACATGCAAGATACAACTTATTTATAATGACTTGCCACTTATAATTCTGTTGACATACAACTTATTAATGTTAACATGCAAGATAAATATGTTGTATTTCAACATGTTTTGTCAATATGCAATTTATTTATGTTGACATGTAACTTATCAACATTGAACTGCGAGAGAAATATGCTGGCGTGATCAAGTACAATATAAGATATACGAGGGTTGTTCGATATGTAATGTGTATTGTAGAATATCTCAAAAGCATTCGACTCAAATAGTGAAATAAACATTACATTCCTTCAAAGTAATCTCCGCCGTTGAAATACATAATTTCAATCTCTGAATCCATTTCTGAATGCGTCAAGGTACGCTGATTTTGGTAGATTTCTGAGGCACTGACTGATGGCTGAGCCAAGGGCTTGTCGGGTCATGTAACGACAACCGAATAAGAACTTTTTAAGCTCAAAAGTTGCTTCACAAGCTCAGATGTATGCGATGGAACATTTTTATGAAGTAGATGAACATGCCTGTATCCTGACACAGAGCGTCGTTTTTGATAATATTTCTTGTGTTTATTTTAGCATAACATCTTGGCAATACCGACCTGTAACACTTCAGCCCTTCGGAATTTGTACGACTGTACCATCACATGAGAAGAATATGCAATAAAGAACCTTATTTGTGCTTATGGTTCTTTTGGCAACTACAGGCCCTCTACCGTGTTGAGTTAGCCATATTTCCATTTTTTATTACTGGTTTGAAATAGTGAACCCACAGGTTTGGCAATTTCACGTACCGTGTATCTGTCATCATCTTCAATTATTTCTCTGACTTTTGAGAAATTTGCCTTGCATGTTAGAGTCACAGGTCGGCCAGATTTTACTGCATCTTAGACGGACTCTGTGCCAGTCAGACATTTCTTTCTCCACCTACGAACTGTCTCATAAGATACCTTATTAGACCCATAAACTTCCCCAATTCAGTAAAAATCTGCATTACCGAATGACCGAGTTTTGTGCAAATTTGAATATAAGCTCTAATTTCTTCAATATTTCCAATCATTTTTACAACAGTGGTCAGCAATTTGCTCTATTGAAATGACTATAAGTTTAAAATTATGTGGAGCTGAAGGCTCGTGTTTATACCGTTTGAAAGGTATTGAATAGAGCTATTCAAGAGTAACATCATCCACAAAATCGTGCAAAGCGTTATCGCACCATGATATAATACACATTACATATTGAACAGACCTCGTATATTTTATTGTGGAAACGTAATAATATTTTTTGCGGAAAAGTTAAATGAATTAATCTCCTATTTGCAGACATTTCCATAAGCAATACATTCTTAAATTGCCCCGTTAAGTTGTGTTCAATCCGGATTATTAATTTACGAATGATCTGGAAATAATCAAACAGCAACATGTCCAAATCAAATATCTAACAGCACCGTCAGCAGTACAAAAATTAACAATTCAAGAAAAAAATCTTCTCTGTAATGAATATTTAAAAATATACATGAAACGAAGCTTCCAGGATTTAAACTTTAAGGAGTCTGGTACAAATTCGTTACAAGAACAAATATATAAGATGCTCTGACACAAAATGTATATCCAAGGTGGCTGTAATGGTAACTTTCATGCAAACATATACATGTAGTACATTTTATGTAGTGATATGAACTAGAGTTTGTGCAATGTGTATGCATTATTATCTGTCATGTAAACATAAATAAGTTGTAGGAGGATATAAATGAATTGCATGTCAACATTAAAAAGCTGCATGCAGATGTAACTTAGTTCCATTTTGATATAACTAAGTTGCCTGTGGACATAAATAAGCTGCATGTAAGCATAAATAAATTGCATATTGACATAATTACCTCGCGTGTTGACAAAAATGAGCTGCATGTCAACAAATAAAAGTTGCATGTTGATATAGACAAGTTGCATCCAGCATGTTGGAAGTCACGATTTGATAATTTTGAGGGGGAAAAAAATCAAAATCTTATTTGATTACATTTTTCTTGCATGTCAACTAAGTTTTGTTGCATGTTGACATATTTATTTTGCATGTTGATATAATCATCTTGCATGTTGACATTATCTATTGAAAAATAACTTGTATACAGGGCCACCATACTTTTCCATTTAGGAATTCTTGAATTGTCAAATTCAATTATATGTTTTAGAATTGATATGTAAATCTTAAACGGTACCAATTTTGATGCACCAGATGCACATTTCGACAAATTATGTCTCTCCAGTGACGCTCATGCCGAAACATCAAAAATCCGAGATATTTAAAAAAAAAACTTTGATGAGCTGAAAAAAGGGGTGTCAAAGACTGGAACCAAACACATCGAAGGATCAGAACTATGCATGAGGGGGATATTCCTTTATTTGGAAACAAATTTCTAAACTTTTCCACAGCAATTAAATATATTTCCGTATTTTCAAGTTAGTACCGAAGTACTTAGCTACTGGTCTGTAGAGACCCTTGGGGACTAACAGTCCACCAGCAGAGACCTCAACCTTTGGGGTCATAATGTAAATCTTATACGGTAGCAATTTTGATGCACCGGATGCGCATTTCAAACAAATTATGTCTCTTCAGTGATGCTCATGCCGAAACTTTGGAAATCCGAAATATTTAAAGCTATGGATTCCTTTTAAACAATGGAATATAAGACTTAAACCTGCATAACGTATATACCTAATTTACAAATTTATAGATGAAATAATAAAATCAGTTCAAATACCAAGCAAAGAATTATATATTTATTCTTTAAATTATTTATTTATAAATATTTATTTTATGTATTATGGTTAACCAAACAGATTTATTTTTACAGAAACAGAAGATATGGGAAATCAGAAGTTCTCAACTCTTGGGCTTGTTTTCTGTTTGATTTCGTTCACAATATACATTCAAGGTGAATAAAATTATATCCAACTTCGTCTCCTACTATTATCAATTAATTCAATTTTGAGCAGATCAACAAAAAATCTATTTATTAATTTGAGGAATAACATTCAAAATGTTTTTATCTTAAACTCAATAACTTATTCATTAATTCGACAAAAAAAGAAGAATAAAGGAAACGTCTTAATACTTTGCATAGCAGGATATTTTTATTTGCTTGCCTATTTTTGATGAAGACTACGTATAATTGCATGAAAATCAATTCACACTTACATGTATTTTGTAGCAAAGAAGCAATCACATGTATATTTCATTCAAAAATTGATTTCTACATATAATTATCTTTTTAAATCAACGCGGGTATGTTAAAGTGACAGTACGGCGCATCTCATCAAAAAACTGACTAGATAAAATTTTCCGAAAAGATTTGGAATTTTTTTACTACTCATAAATGTATAAACTTTCAGAAAATTACAACTTTTACAATTAAATAATTTGGATTATCTCATTAAAATTAATAGTTATTTATGCGCAGTACAGTTAAGGCAACATTTTCTATGAAAAGGCACCAAAAACGAGACACTTAAAGTTCAACCGTCTCATTTTTTAGCATGAAACTCTATCTGAAATATCTTAATGGCTTTATGAAGAGTTTGTCCATCGCTTTTAACATCGGTATTTTTTGTCATCATGTGACCCTCTACAGTCACGTGAGCTCCGATTTTAGGTCAAAATATGAAATGTCAAATTTAACCAAAAAGTGCAAGGGCAAGGCAAACAATATTTGAACTGCACAATATTTCATTGTGTCCCTTAGTATCTATTCTATCGTAAAACTGATGCTCATTCAGTCAGATTTCTGAGATATTTAAGTTATTCATTGAAAACAGACACCAGTATTCAAAAATAGGGTATTTTTCATCATTTAATCGGAAATTTTAAATTACCTAATAAATTACAAAGAAATGAGCATCACTTTTTAAAAACTATACAGTAAAGTAAAGAATTTAAAATAAAAACCTACCTCTTGGATTGTCGCCTTGCCCTTGCACTTTTTGATTAAAAATTGAAATCTTAACACATTCATTCTAAATATAGTTTTCAAACGCATCATTGACCCAGCATGGGAGATAACTCTGTGGTACTTAATAGAGTGTGTGTACCTCGCAAATTTTGAACAAATAATACTTACGGACTGTGCTGGGCTTTATTTCATTAAATCAAATCGGTATCCATAAAAAAAAATCCTTGACTTTACTTTATTTTGTATATCTTCTTTTTTTTATACTCTACACAAGACGTATTTGACACCTACCGCATTTCCTCCGTTCGTCAACAATAGGTCTAAAATTTGCCGCAACATCTATCATGTAAATCAATTGGAAAATCCCATGGTTAAAAAATATTGAAAGATTCAATCATTTGTAATAAAGAATAGACAGCCGCTATCAATGATAAAATATTTATTCTCCCCAAGCAGACACATAGAAAAAATATCTCCGACAGAACTTAGTTTTTTTTTTGTTTTTTTTTTACATATGTGATTATTTTAGATATCAAACCTTCAACTGTTTAGGGATTCTAGACTACGTTAAAAGTTTTAAGAACAGGAGGAAGGGATTGGGGAGCTTACTCCTGTATTTAATTACCTGTTTTCCTTTCTACAGATCTACCCCCCCCCCCACCCTCCCCGTCACCAGTTTGCCTCTGGCTCCTTTGATACCATATACCTTACTTGCACGTAAAAAACAAATTATTAAACAGTGTTTACACCAGGTTTTACTTATTTGGGTACTGTAGCACAAATCACATTGGGGAGGGGAGAGGGGGCTTTAGTCTCATTTTTTTTGAGTTATTATCAATCCATGCGCAAACAAGATAATCAAAGTAAAACTTTGTAATCAAGAAACATATACTCTGTTAAAGAACAGGTGAACACAATATACATGCTGAAATTTAGATCTTGTTGGTACCCCATAACACAGATACATGTAGGCGCGTAGCCAGAATGGAAGTGAAATGTACGCAGAGAACGGCTGGGGTCCCCTTTGAGACCCCCAGTTGGTCCAGGGCGAAGCCCTGATGAGGACCCATGGGCGAGTCCCTGGAAGCTCATGGGTTTTACCAAATATTTCATTCAAAATCATGCCATTTCGATTTTCTTTAGAAATACAAGACACAGTACTTAATATTGCTTTTAACACAGTTAAATACTTCCGTGCAAATTTATTGTACATGTAGAGGCTGAATATTTTTTAAAATGATATATTGGGATCATCTACTCTTTTTTAACTTTCAGCAACAAATATAATTAATTTCAATTATTAACAAAAATAATGTTATATTTCAAATCATATTTTAGTGGATCACAGCATTCAACGGTTGATATTTTCTCAAAGATCTTTTAAAAAATTATCAATGTGTTGTAGAATAATTACAAATTAATAAATGTTTTATTTGGTTGTGGCAATGATTTAAATAATAAAACATTACAATTCTTTTTATAAAGACATGGTAATATAAAATTTGAATTTGAATCGAAACAGTATGAGATAAAATAATTTGAAACACAAATATTTGCTGGATGGTATTGATATTTTTTCTCTTCTCACAAATCTCTCCCTCCCCCCCCCCCATCCCATTTTTTTTAATTTGAAAACGATGTGTACACATCTGCGTATAGGCAGCTACGCACCTGTCAGAATATATTCAAGTAAAGATATTCAAATCTTAACAGCCTTCAAACTTTCACACCATTGTACTGTTAAAAATTCAAAGTATTATTTATCTAGAAAATTTATTTAATTAAAACAGCTTTTCAAATTCAAAGGCAGGCTGTAAAGGGATTTCTGAGCAGGTGCAAAAAATAGTCCACAGTTCAAACAGTTCTTCTGAATGAAATCAATTCTGAAAACAAAATGAAATACCATTATGGAAAGTTAATTGGTGTTTTAAAAAAGTGATACTCAAAACAATGCATTGAGTAACATGGAAAGCATATACATGACTCTACTGTTTTTATTATCAAAACATTTCAATAATCTTGCTAGGAATAGGTATGGTTTATAGCTTATATGGAGCATACCTTTTTATTTTATTGGTGGAAACACTTGCTGCCTGAATGAATTGTTCAAATTGTTTGGGAGTAGCTACAACACAATATATATGACTGTATGTAATGAGTGAATAACATAATGATTACTATTGTAGAATGAAATGACATTGCACAAAACAAACCATGCTATACTATATTTTCTGAAATTCATAAAATAAATGGAAATAAACTTTTGATACAAAACTTTTCTGGGAAATTGAAACCTATGACATTTGCAAAAGTAGAATTGGTAGCTAAACTTAAAAAAAAATCAATATACTAGAGATAACATGTAATTCTTTCACCTATACGACATTTAAAAAAAAATTAACACTGGCATACTATAAAATTAATGTGAAATGCTTTAGTGTGATCATACCCAGTGGAGAAATTGATGCATCTATTTTGATAGTTCTAGCTGATGTAAATGCCAGTTTTAACCAGTTCTGTGACAGCTACAATGACAAAAGAATTATACATATAAACAGTACATAAATACATATAAGACTGACTTAATGCACATGTAGTCAGACAAATGAAAATTCAAACATTTTACCTTCATTAATGTAGAAATTCTACAAATTTACAGCCTAGTGATACAGATAGTAAAAGTTCTACGATGAATATAAAATATGAAGCACTGGTAAAAACTGAAATCTTAAAATTCACATACATGTATTTTTGATTGCCAGAGACCTGTATAAATTAAAATTTATAGGGTCTTATACTCTTGTATGTACAGTGCACATACATTGTGTACACTGTGCAGTTTGACTTCACAAATACATTGTAAGTGTGACTGCATCTAAATTATACTATTTGATATCATGACGTGCTGTGCTTATATTATGTTACATTTTTGTACATGTATGCCAAAGGACAACATCATTGCATGTTCAAAAGTGTGCAACTTTCATAATGTGTGTGTTTTTGTGTATGTGTGTGTGTGAGGGGGGGGGGGGGGCACTGCATTGCAGTTTGTGACGGACTGTAATAATTCATCTTATTGTACATGTTCATGGTTATCTGACATCGATGTAAAGAATAGTATGTCTACATTGTAATACCTATGCACATACACACCTTAATGAACAGAAAGGGACCTAAGGAGGTAGTGCGGATCGTCTCAGTTTTCCATGATTTCCCGAAATAACGTCATCATCTCATCAAAAAGATAAACAAGGCCCAGGTCTCTTATTTTATCCCTATTCTCTTTAAAGATTGCCTGGTTGTTGCATTTATCCACTGCATATCTCAGCTGCTGTCGCCACGTTTTTAGATGTAAACAACATTCCGTGTCACCGAGTGCAAGCGCTTGGCTGAAGCCGAATGCAGCCAAACGACACAATAAAAAGAGAATTATTTCGAAGACGTGTTGTTACTATATAAGAGAAAATCACTAATGTTTATTTATTTAAACCTGAAAATACAGATATTCATTACAAATTCTCGCAATCTTCATTAAATAGCTTTTTTGAGCTCTATTTCCTTATATGGATCTATCAAGGCAGAGCAACTGTCATGACGTCAAACCTCATTATGACCTCATTACCATATTATCTTCATGTGTAGCCTTAACTGTACTGCGTGGGACGTAAATATATACATCGCAACGTGTTCGGGGTTCCACATTCCATGCTGTGCACGCATGCGTAGTTTTCATAAACAAAACAGCATGGTTAGAGAGGGAATCCCGGTAGGCCTGCTACATTGACAAAGTCGACTAAAAATAAAAAGAAACTGAAAATAGAACTTGAAAAAGGAACTTTCCTGACTAAAATTTAGTTTGGGGATTAATATAATCGCTGGGTAAGGAAGAAACGGGAACTCGGCGACACTCACACAGGGCTCTCGAAGGTTCTATTCGACAGGTTTGTTGTTACTTGTTATCATTTCTCATTTTTCCGTCGCTTTCAAAGAAAAAAAAAATAGTGTAAACTCAACATAAAAAATACATCTTTGACTTATAAATATTGTTGCCATTTGAAATGCTAATTTTTTTTAAGTGTGCAGAAAAATATTTTGTTTGACATTTGCCGCGATAACGTATGATTAGTTGGTTTTTCCTTTCTCGGACCCCAATACACAAAACGTCAACATTTGTACTTTTAATTCTGTTAAATTCGCCTGAATGCAGACTAAAATCTTTACGATTATTATTTTAGATTATTTTATCAGGATATCATGATAATTTGTGTTTTTGATAATTGCTTTCACCTAATATTCATTATAACTGTAAACTCTGCAGTGTAGGCACGTGCCGTTTTAAAATTCACGTGGTACAAATAAACAGATCTAAGATTGCCCCAGTTCGTATGACCCTTGATTTTCCGGCAGATTCTAATTACGTTAATTTTGATTGAGTAGAGAATATTTCTGTTTCTCAAACTGCTTACATCAACTTTATACCTTATTTCTTAATGACATATTGGGTAAATTTGGATGAAAAAGCACACATTTTGCAGCCGTACTGTCGCTTTAAGGCTTCACCCAGAGATATCCTACTTGCCTTTACAATATGACGTCATAGTAAGCTGTATGACGTGAACTATAGAAATAATGATTTCTTAATATCTTTATTAAAAGTTTAATTCTAGGTCAAAGAAATGAATGGAATCATTCAAAACATAATATAAACTAAATCTTGTCGTTTTTGGGTGGTATAAACAGCTAAGTATTTAGCACGGGGGTTAAATACCAAACCCATGACGTCATAACTATTGATCAAATATTTGCCGAGTGAAATTAAACATGACGAGAATTCATGTAAACAAATAGATGAAATGGGAGTTTTAAAGCATATACCGTGAATGTTATATGTGATTCATAAGGAATTAAAAATTAAGAATCAGGTACGCTGATATATTCTTATCATGTTTTCTTATAATGAACACAGGCAGTGCTTTGAAATCCCGATCAGCCTTTCCTCTGTCGATCTATAACAATAAAGATGCAAAAGTTCAACACTACGCCGCATACTTTGAAACATAATTTTTGTTTGTATCGAAAGCTTGTATTCTATAGTACTTGGAAAGTGCTGCCAGAATCGTGTGGTTAACATGAATTGATAACAATTCCTTGATCGTATGTATAAAATGTAAAAATTTTGGTAAGGTTTCATGCGAAACTTTGGAATATTTTTTTCTTTGTCGGGAGAGTAGGATTCTAGCAGCACTTTTCATGGCCCAGTGATGTTTTTACATAATTATTTTCACTAAAAGAAATGAATTAGCTCCGGGGTAGTGTTGAACTTTTCACTTTTTCATTAAGGCAATTTTTCTATTTATAGACGTCACGTGATGACGTCGTAGTGGAGTGCTTCTTTTAGCCTAAGACTCAATGACGTCTATACAATGGATAATAATAGTAAATGTTTTATCTATGGCTTTTCCGATTTATCAATGTTACATTTTACGAAAAAAGTCTAAATTCGCAGAAATATGATCTGGGTACTGCCTTAACATACCTGCGAAATTTTTGAATTTATATAAATAAAAAAACCGCATTTTTTTTTTACATGCCCAGTTCACATGGATTTTACATGTTTACTTCTGGCATTAACAAAAAAAAATTGTTATAGAATGGGATTATTATTATTTGCAAAATAAAATTATCATTTGTTTATCATTTCTTCATTTATTCATCATATCCTTGATCAATTTATGGGGCTTACGGTGGGTGTGATCGGTCAACAGGGGATTCTTACTCCTCCTAGGCACCTGATCCCACCTCTGGAATTTTCAGAGGTCTGCGTTTAAATCAACTTAACAGATTTTTATTGTTTGTAGATTTTTGAGATCGATCACTGTTCGTTATCGTCATCTTTTTCATTCTTAGGAACTGTTGCACAGGGTTGTACCACAAGCGACGTCCTCAGCTGTAGTAATACCTACACCAATGCTTATCGTGCTGCAGGAAACGATCATGGAAAAATTTGCAGGTTAACTTTTCTTTTCGTTTGTTGATCGACATACCTGATCAAAATTAACTTGGAAAAATATTATCATTATAACGGTGCTGACACCTTACATGAGTTACATTGACTCAGGTCAAATATTCCAAACGTTCTAAAATATATCATTCTTACATCCTGTCTGCTACACTAGAGTAGTGATGTTTTGCTACGTGTAAAATGAATGTGACCCGCTGACTCCGTTATAGCAATAAATTAAACCCTCTTCCTGTTCATGTATTTTTCTCGGCGTAAATCGAATCGACCATTTCATTCTAAAAATAGATGAAAGAATATTTTGCTACGTACGACAATGGATTTGAATTTTCAATTATTTTTTTTTTAATCGTGTGCAAATGTCCGTGAAGTCGATATATCTATGGATCGATCTCAGAAGAGGAATATATTTGCAAAATGCCATGGAGTCAATATTCTACTATACTAAAAGGAAAACGAAACGCAGGGTAACATAATATACAAAATGTTTTTGACTGTATGGCCGAAATTTACAAAAACTGGTCAAAGGGGTATTTTGGTAACTGTGTACTCAAATCTGTGTGCAACCGTGAAATGTATGACGAAAATTGTGAGAAAATAGGGAAAATTGTAAAAAGCGGAAAACATGTGCATATTGATGATGACAGGTTTGTCAACACATCTTGTAATACCACTTGATGCACTGAAGATATGCACATCGTTTTTTCGATATTGAAAAACAATTTGTTTTTTTTTGTAATTATGATATGGCTTACAGAAGTCCCAAGGGGTCTGGCTAATGCATTGCCCAAGTAAAGAAAAAGGAAAGAACAGGTTGTTGTGCAGTTTGTTGTGAATTTTTTTCACCATAGAACGTCTTATCCGTCATCAGAGAGGGACTGGAAAGGTTTCCAATCAACCGTGAAGATGATGTTGGCGAGTAAAAACGCCACTTTAAGATTGGGCTGTTCATCCTGCCATCTGTGTAATCGCCACTTACGACCACTAAAACCACTGTTCATACGGTAGGCAATCATAATCGTTACACTGACCCAAAAACTGAACGAAACCAATTGCACAATTTTGGTTTGTGAGCTCGTCATTTTTACATCATTGTTCCTCTAACTCGCGCGAGTATGCGCATTATGCCTAATTTTACAGCATGTTAATCCACGGCCCAGTGTATAGCAAGAGTTTGTCAAGACTTTCTCGCAAACATTCACATCAACCCACTCGACTGGTGTCCGTACGATCCATCTTTTTTTCTCCAGTTGAACATCTGTGGGACTAACTGGACAATTGGGTTTAAAGGCGTCGGAATGTCCAAGCTACTCTGGAAACTAGGCTCTGCCTTGTCCAAAGGGTTGAATAATATCCCTATGTGAAAGATAAATGCACTAATGAACTCTATACAAAGGATAATTAAGGATATGAGAGATGCACGAGAGAGGCATAGAAGATGGTGAGAATTTTCGATTTTCACTTTTGGGGGGGGGGGGTACCGTCATTTGAGTTTCAATAACTCATGAATTATCGGTCATAATTAAATGAGATTTTGCTTACTTGTTGATGAAAGATGAGTTTAAATGTTAAATAACAATACTGGAAAATACGTTCGAAAAATAACATTAAATCACTTCAAAAGTTTACCCTGCGTTTCTTTTTCCTTTCAGTATATTTTCTGGTGGCTCTTTGAACAAGAAAAAAATGCTCCATACTCTTCCAGAGAAAAAATTTATGATTTAATTACTTTCTGTTGAATAGTGCAGCTAATAAGGCTCTGAATTGTCTAGACAATGTGCTGGCTGCCTGTGGAACGGGCAGTTCATCAGTTGATTCTGCAAGACAATACGTTGACAATGTAAGGCAAGCCCTCAACCAATACGCGTGTGGTACGTATCTTTAAATATTTCAGCTTTACAAGGGAAAGTGAAAATAAATCTACTACAATTAAATACTTCGTGAACACCTCATGAAATAGAAATTAAATTTTTTATTACGTTGTTTAAATGTTATCAACTACCTTGGATCCAAACTTGCATCAATTTTTCTTTCATTACAGGTGTTGTTGGTCTCTTTTTCAATTTGTCGGTTATGGCATTAGGACTCGCGTTTACATACGCTTTCAAAAAGTTCAATGATTGAAATGAACTTAACCATGTTAAAATACAATTTTGTATGCATAATCTAGGCTTCATCAAACGAATATCCTTATTGGTAGACAAATGTAACTTCTTTAAATGCTTGTGCAAAGTTTATGTGAAAATGGTAGAAAATAATTAATTTGTTTTAATTAAAAATATTAAATTTGTATTGCTTAGCTATGATTATACAAAGTTTGTGTATAAAATATGTAAGATTTGTCATCTTTGCTCTGATTTTTTTTATAGTTTATATTTTTACGACTTTTAACATTAGGCTTATTAATCTAACAATTGTATGGTCTCATTATCAAATCTTCGGTGACAATATCGGTGTAAAAAACTCTATTTCAGATCATTGTCAACATTTTCATCTTTATTTTTGTAAATTAAGCAGGCAAATGTTTACAGGATTATAATGTTGTTACAGACTTAGAGTAATGCTTAATATAATGATAATGCATTGCAATTCATTACTTGTACTTGAAATCAAAGTCATGCTAGTGAAGTGTAATACCAAAAAAATCTGTATTACATGTAATAGTTGTGTAATGCATATGCATTACTTTCGAAATTTAGCTTAATAATGGTATTTTAGGGGATAATAATACATTTGTGTATGCTCGTTAATTGAAAAAGAATTCAAAATAAACATGGAAATCATTGTTAAGAATAACATATTTATATGAAATAAATAAAAACGAAAAAACTATTAAATTATTGAATATTCAAACGAATGTTACTTCTATAATATATGTTTGAATAAAAACTACCTAACCTTTGAATTTTCATAGTATTTTAGATTCACAATGTTTTTTTAAAGAATATTCAGCAGAGCTTAAAAGGTCTTTAAATAATTCCAAGAATACACTTATTAAAGGTATATTGTGTTGTTTTAGATTCACAATGTTTTAAAAAAACATTCAACAGAGTTTAAAGCTCCTAAAATAATTACTAAGAGAGTACACTTATTAAAGGTACATTGTGTCGAAACATACAGTTCCTTTAGGATTTTGTAAGAACCCAAACAATGTCTTGTTTTAAGGAGTACTCATTATTACCATACCAATGCCTATCTCCTGGCAATGATTTTGAAATATTATTTGAGCAAGTCTAACTAGCTAGAGTGGAACATGACAAATTCTTTGGACCAAAAGAAATAAGAGAAATTCATGCTACGTTTACAGCAAAACCTAGACACTGTCTTTCTCGTAGTATTTGCGTGTTGAATTTGGTTTCAGAAACGAAGAGATGTAAAAAAAATCCAATGTTTGATGAAAAAAAAGAACCCATATAGATAGGTGGAGAGAGGTAAAGAAGCTCCAAAGGTTTTGTTTTCTGACATTGATACGTAGACAAATAGCACATACTTAATATGGAATTTTATTCTTTTGGCAATTGTGATAATCAAATTTGAACATTCATCACATTTAGTTTTGAAGGGTGGGAATTAGGTGTCTGAGAAAAATTGTTAATTTAGCTTTTTTGAAGACACTGAGATTTTGATATATCACTTGTATAAATTCTGTATAAAATAAAAAAGTAATGGTAATGTAATGCAATGTAGTTCAAGAAAAAATACTAATAGTATGATGACACTGGAACTTCATTTCGGCCCCAGTATCCCATGTATAAATTGGCATATTTCAACCATCTGAATTCGGATTCAGATTTTTATTGAGTCTAGAGTCAAAGGACGTCTTCGCCTCATAATTATGTAAATACAACAAACACATAAACTACATACATATTTTTGTGTAAGAGTACCCTTTGATTTTTGTAAAGTCAGATTTCTAAAATTATTTGGGGAATATATTTTTGAAGGGTTCAGAATTAGAAAGATTTGTTGACAAACCTGTTACAGTATCAAGCTTTTTTCCACTATTGAAGAGCCAAGAATTAAAAGGCCAAACCGGTTTTGGCATTTGCGTTATCTGTATTCAATTTAGCGTGTGTATGGCCCTAGAAATGGGTATTTCCCTTTGCAATTTTCGAAATCAAGATTAACAAAACCATAATAAAAAGTAATCTGAGAAGGGTCGGTTTAATAAACCATACAAAAGATTCAGTTTATAAGAAAAAAACTTTTCATTTTTATAATACGTACAAATCTGCATTGAATAGCTATTGATTAAAGCTAATTTATGGTACAAGTTCCATTGTAAACTCTGATTTTAAAGTATAAATTACGGAACATAATATCAGACTTTTAAAAAAAATTAAACTCGACTCTACACATATCGATCTTCGAATTTTAATACCTTAATTACATTTTATATTGGGAGGAATTGCATAACTCTGCCCAAGTGTAATTTAATTACTTATGCAGTCTTGCGCATTATTTAAATTTTAATTGACATCTTAAATTGATTTTTAGCTCACCTGTACTAAAGGCTCAAGTGATCTTGTCTGAAAAAAGAGTGTCTTATGGATATCAATCTTTCTGTCTGGTCGCCGTGAGTTGGAGCGTTTGTTAACTTTTTCAATTTTCAAATTCTACTCTAGATCCATTTGGCCAATTTCAATCTAACCCGCCACTGAAAGTTTTTGAGTAAAGAGTCTTCAATATTTTTTTCTAATGAAAAGGACCACATCCTCTTTCAGGGCGAGAACATTTATAACTAGTGCAAAAATTGTTTAGGTCTTTAAAAATTCTCAAAGACCACTTGTTCTGAAAATAAGAAACAAACATAGTGTAGAGAATTAAGTTTGCTCATATAATGGCTCTTTTGGGGGTATGGGGAGTCACAGTATAGGATCATCTAAGTTTTACATGGTAATATATTAAAAAGCACAAATTTTTCTCAAGAATGTTCATGTTTATTCAAGCTTCCTTACGTAATAAATTTTAATTTGGTCGATTCATTGCCCATTGGGTACGACCACAATAATAATGGATCAAGGTTTTTTTCACTTTATTAACCCCGGTGACACAGTAAAAAACCTACTATTTTACATAGGAATAAACACGGAACTTATACAAAAACTACTGAAGAATAGCAAAGCCACAGGTAGAAGTGTTTATACATTTAAATATTTTCATTTGGATTTGAATTTCATTTTTTTTCAACTGTAGACCATGGGAATTGGGTTTAGTGTAAATATGGGAAGGATTTTTCCAACTGAATGTTTACAAGAAATTAAGAACAGCAACACCATGTTAATCTAAGTATTATTGGAGCATCCCAATTATGTATAGATTCAAGTCCAATTAATCCGTGACCCTTTGGGGCTAAAGTAGGACAACAACAAGGGTCAACATTTTTGATGTGTATCAAATGGAAATAATCTTTTTAAAATCCTTTGATGAAGAATAGCGGGGTCAAAGTCTCAGATGAGTGTTGTGGTCTTGGGCCTCATGTTTTTATTTGACTGTTATTGATATTTAAATGATAGAGTGCCCCTAAGCTATAGCATCTCTTGGTTAAAAGAAAAGTTATCTTAGATTCTAAACAATTTACGGTTTTAAACTTCTTCAGACATACTCTTTTCAGAGCAGATTCGGTGCAAAGAAAAATATTGCTTGAAGAGTCATTTGCGCAAAACCAGGTGTGCAATGGTACAAAAAAAAGAAAATTTAAGTCTGTATAATTTAGCGTTTTGCTACGAATTTAAAAGAGCTAGATAATAAAATTTTAAATGCTTTGAAAGAATAGAATCTGAAAACCACATGTATTTGATGAAAGACTTTTCGGTTAATCAGGTTGGTGGGAAACGTAAATTCGACTATAATAGCGTTGTATCACTATATTTGTGAGATTCCGCTATATTTTCAGCTACATCCAATGATTTAATTCATTACTTATTACTTGGAAAAATTAAGAACATTTAGAATCTTGAAAAGAATTTACCTCTTCACAATTTACGCATTTTTAATGCCTGGATAATTAATTCCATGCAGGATGTGTAGCGGCTGTCAGTTGCAAGCAACAAAATCTTTATTGATGTCACACGAAAGTCTCTGAAATATTATACTATCATAGTCATATTGTTTTGCGATAGGTGATCTGATCATTTGACAAACTTTAAAATCAAATCACCTTATGTTAAGAGGACGTTGCTCAATAAAACTTTTTCCCCGGATTTTGGCTGGATTTTTTGTTAAATTAAATTTATAGGGAAATATGTGCTCATTTAAAGCATGTATCCTTTGAATCATACTCTGAATGTTGGGAGTTTCACCTATCATGAAAGAATAGGCTCATTATTAAAAGTTAGCTATATAGCACATGGCGTATAAACAAACATTGTGGTTTCTCTTGATTTTTACAAATTTTCACATCCATACTAACATTAATAAAAATTGAGATATATATGTACATATCTACCTATACCCCCCCTCCTCCCCCCCCCCCCATTGTAACACATGATATACACGCAACGTATATGAAGAACGCTTATTAATTGCAAATAATCTTCCAAGTATTGCTTATAAAAAAAGTATTCAGGAAATTAAAATTGACTCAAATTATATCTCAGAAAGTCTATGATTAGTGTTATGATACCCTGTTCTTGGATACATTATCGATACATCTTTATCCCAATATCTGACAGTCTCCCTTTCGCATTCCCTCTTTCAGTGGTAGGCAAGAATTTTTTTGGTCATGTCATTCAGCTGGTTCGAATGGCTTTGGAATTTCATTTCGGCCCCAGGACTGCCAGTAGTTCCCCATTGTATGTATAGATGTGGTTCAACCATCACGTGTGTCAAAGGGGCTTCTGTATCGTTACACAGGTATGTTAAGGCAGTACCCAGATAATTATTCGGCAAATTTACACTTTTTTGGTAAAATGTTACACTGATAAATCGGAAAAGCCATAGATAAAACACTTACTATAATTATCCATTGTTTAGTCCTCAAAGGGTCTTAGGTTAAAAGAAGCTCTCCACTACGACGTCATCACGTGACGTCTATAAATAGAAAATTTGCCTTTAATGAAAAAGTGAAAAGTTCAACACTACCCCGGGGATAATTCATCTCTCTTTGTAAAAATAATTATGTAAAAACATGACTTGGCCATGAAAAGTGCTGCTAGAATCCTACTCTCCCGTCACAGAACAAAATATTCCAAAGTTTCGCATAAAACCTCACAAAATTTTAACATTTCGTACATACTATCGAGGTATTTTCATTAATTCATGTTTACCCCACGATTCTAGCAGCACTTTTCAAGTTCTGTTGAATACAAACTTTCGATATAAACAAAAATTATGTTTCAAAATATACGGCGTAGTGTTGAACTTTAGCACGTTTGTTGTTAAGAATGACAGAGGGAAGGCTGTTCGGGATTTCAAAACACTGTCTGTCTTTATTATAGGGGAAAAAAATGAGCAATTAAATTAACGTATCTTTTTCTTAATCTTTAATTCCTTATGAATCACACATGATGTTCATGGTATATACTTTAAAACTCCCATTTCATATATTTGTTTACATGAATTTTCTAGTTAGTTTCATTTTCACTTGGCAAATATTTGATCAGCAGTTATGACGTCATGAGTTCTGTATTCAACCACCGTGACAATTAATTCGCTAATTATACCATCCAAAAATGACAAGACTTAGTTTATGTTGTGTTTTACATGTCTCCATTCGTTTCTTTAACTGAAATAAAACTTTAAATACAGATATTAAGAAATCGTTATCTCTAAAGTTCACGTCATACAGCTTACTCTGACGTCATGTTGTATAGGTAAGTAGAATATCTGGGTATAGCCTTAACATACCCACGTAAGTAGAATTAAAGATTGGTAGTCTGGAAGAAAACACTCGGAAATGTTCAC